AGACTCCAAGCTGCTCTAAACTGCAATCAAACCACATAGCAGTCAACATCCTACATTACCACCAAAGTTTTGACAACAGAAATTCCAACTTACATTCTATATTGTTTTTTCCACATTATACATTGTTAATTTACTAAAACTCTGCAAGTTTATATATAACCCCTTTCCAAGTCAGGATCATCTTTTATAAGAATATCAAACCACAATAGATTTTATCTCTTCTTTTTTCCTTCAGCAGTACTGGGGTTTGAACTCAGGGCTTTGTGCTTGCTAGGAAGGTATTCTACTGCTTGAACCACACCTCTAGTCCTTTATCTCCTTTTGATTTCTATTTATACCACTCCTTCTTGGTCCCTATCCTTTGATATCACAGACATATAGGTAATTGACATATATTGAGCTTTTGTTTGTCGAAATGGCAAAATATACCATTACTATGATGACAACGTAAGCACTAGGAAGCCTTTTTTGAGTACTGACAATGTATCGAGTCCTATTGTAAGGGCTTTACACATATTGACATGTTAATCTTCACACCAATCCTAAGAGACATGAAAGGATTATCACTCTCATCTAGATGGTGAAACTGGGACAAATGTTTGTGGAAATGAGTTAAGATCTGGATCCAGGCTATCTTGCTCCCAGACTCCTGCCCTTAACCAGAAGGCAACTTGTTTTATATCCCATAAAGAAGTCAGAAATCAAGAAGATAGGCATTCTGAAGCAGCAAGTCCCCAGATCTCAAAGAAAGTATTCACCAAAAGACATTTTTTTAAACAACCCCGTCCAAGCCTATAATTTTACCAAATTTTGAACCTATTTTGAAACTGTCAAAAAATTTAAAGATTATTAATGTTATTAATTAGTTAACCAAAGTTTCAAAGTTTAAGATGATTTCAACCACATAATTCAAGGGTCAAGTTAATATACAGTATCTTGCATGGTTACAAGATACCATGTTATCATGTTAACATTTTTTTGTTTTTGGCAGTACTGGGGTTTGATCTCAGGTCCTTGCTCTTGCTAGGCAGGTGATCTATATGAACCACTCCACCAGCTCTCATGTTAACATTTGATTGCCACTGTGATGGTGTTGGAAGGTAGGACTTTTAATAAGTGATTAGGTCCTTAAGTGGGATTAATTCCTTTTATTTACCCACTTATGTATTTACCTATGTATGTATGCATTTATTTATTTATTTTTGCAGTACTAGGGATTAAACCCAAGCCCTTGAGCTTCTTAGGCAAGCACTGGACCGCTTGAGCTTTACCACCTGCCCTTATTACTGCTGTTGGGGTATTGGGGTTTGAATTAAGGGTGTAATGCTTGCTAGGTAACAGCTCTACCACATGAGCCCTGTCTGCCTCCATTCCTTAGTTTTTGAGACAGGGTCTCACTGCCACTTTTGCCCAGGTCTTTAAGTGGGATTAATTATATTATCTATCATCTATCAATCTATTTATCTACTTATTTTTGCAGTACTGGGGATTGAACCTAGGCTTTCTGCTCTCCTTCTTGAGCAATGTCAGAGAAAATCAATTAAAACAAAACCCTTCAATCAGATCGAGTTTCTAATAAAAAAGAATCCAGGTTTCAATGGAAATCACTTTATATATTTAAAACCAAAGACAATAAACCAACATCAAGATACAGATGTTATTATCTTAGACTTCAAAGCTGCCATGATAAAAACACTTCAACAAGCAATTACAAGCATGCTTGAAACAAATGGAATAGCAGAGCATCAGCAAAGAAACAGAAAGTCTTAGCAAAGAAATATACATATAAGAAATTTCACAACTGAAAAATGCAATGACCAAAACAAAAATCTCAAGTGGATGGACTCAACAGCAAAGTGGAAGGTACAAAGAAAAGCAGCAATATGGAAAACAGAACTCAATCAGAACAGCACAGAAGAGAAAAAACATGAAGGACCTTAGTAACTTGAGGGACTATGGTAAAGGACCGAATACCAAAGTACTAAAAACAAAGAAAACTCAAAGAAACAATGCCTAAAAACTTCCCAAGTTTGGCAAGAGACCCAAACCTGTGGATTGAAGAAGCTGAGCCAAGGGGGTGTGGGGGCACGGCTACAAAAGGATAAACTAGGTGTAGTAGTGTATGTGTACAGTCTCAGCTACTCAGTAACTCATGAGTTTGAGACCAGACTGGGCAACAAAGGGAGATCCTGACTCAAAACACTACAAAACACATTCTAATTAAATTTCTGAAAACTAAAAACTAGGGCAAAGAAAAAAAAAAACCTTGAAAACAGCTGGAAGGGGCAGATACTTGACGTACAGAGAAAAACAATTCAAATGGTAACATGTTTTTTCATTAGAAAACAGTGAGGACCAGATTTGGTGGTACACACCTATAATCCCAGCACTTATGAGGCTAAGGCAGGAGAATCTTAGTTCCAAGACAGCTTGGGGCTACATAGTGAGATGCTCTTTCAATAAATAAATTAAATAGAAAAAAAACAGGGAGGCAGAGAGTGGCATAATATTTTGCAAGTGCTGAAAAAAAAGAACTGTCAACCCAGAATCTTTTACTTTTTTGTGGGACTAGGATTTGAACTCAGGGTTTCTTGCTTGCAAAGGATGTATGCTATCATTTCCAGTCCATTTTGCTCTGTTATTTTGAAGATGGGTCTCAAACTACTTGTCCAATCTGTCCTCAAACTGTGATCTTCCCAAGTAGCTAGAATTATAGGCTTGAGCCACCAGTGCCTGGCTAACTCAGAATCATTTATCAAGCAAAAATATCCTTCAAAGTTTAAACCCCAGTACCACCAACAAAAAAGAAAAAAGCCATGTGCTGATAGCTCATGCCTGTAATCCTAGCTACTCAGAAGGCAGAGAGCAGGACAGTTGAAGCCAGTTCATAAGACCCTAGTCTCGAAAAAAAAAAAAAAATCATAAAAAAGGGCTGATGGAATGGCTCAAGGTATAGGCCCTAAGTTCAAACGCCGGTACCACAAAACAAACAAACAAAAAACACTAAAAAACAAAACTATCCTTCAGCATATATGGAAACCAAAACTTTCTCAGATAAAAAGGAAATTAAGAAAATTTCACAGATCTTCCTTAAATAATAGCTAAAAGGAAATAATTAAAGGACACTTGGAACCTGAGGGAAAACCATGATAGACAAAGTTGTATAAATACAATGGGCCCCCTTCTCAAGTTGAGTTTCTAAATTATTATGTGACAAATGATTTAAAAATTATGCCTGTCTAAATATGGTTCTAACTGTATGAAGAGGAAATATTGAAGACAATTTATAAGATGAGGAGAGAAGGGGTATAAAAGGAGGTAAGATAAAATAACACTAATAGATTGTGAGAAGTTAGTTGTATACTTGGTGTGACCACTAAAAAAAAAGAGAAATACACTCTACAAAGAGGTACACTACAGGGTTGGGGGTATGGCTCAAATGGTAGAACAGCTGCCTAGCAAGCATTAGACACAAGTACCCCAGTACTGCAAAAAGCAAAAAACAAACCCTCTATTGGGAACTGGTGTGTACACAACTCAGTGGTACAATACACACTTAGCATGTGTGAGACCCTGGGTTCAAAGCTTAGCACCCAAAATGAAACAAAACAAACACCATATTGACATAGTGGTAAAAATGTGATTTTATAAAATGTTCAAGTAATCTACAGGTAGATAGGATGGCAGACTAAGTCTGAACATGTGACTAATAACAAATATAAATGATCTAAATATAAAAATTAAAATAGAGATGACCTAAATGGATTAAGAAATGACTCAAGCAAGTGTGGTAGTGCACATCTGTAATACCAGCACTCCAGAAGCTGAGGCAGGATAGTGAGCACAAAGCTAGCTTGGGCTACATAGTAAGATCCCACCTAAAAAGAAAAAGAAACAAGATTCAAACTGTTAAAGGCAGTGGCAATGCATATCTGTAGTCAGCTACATGGTTGCTTAGGCAGGAAGATCAAACTCAGGAGGTTGAGGCCAGCCTGGGAAACAAAGTGAAACACCATCTCTTAAATAATAATAATAATGAGATGTAGATAGATAGATATAGATATAGATAGATATATATAGATATATATAATGTGTACATATAAGTACACTTAAATATACATACATACATGTTTTTTTCAGTGACTATATGAACCATATCCTGCCTACAAGAAACTTACTTTAAATAAAAAGGATTTAGACAGGTTGAAAATAAAAGATGGAAAAAAATCAGATAAAGCAGACTTTAGAGCAAAGAAATATCAGACAGACAATAGTGCTGTATAAAGATAAAAGAGTCAATGTGCCAAGAAGGCATAATATATCCAACGGTACAGCTGCAAAAGGTATGATACAAAAACTGATGGAATTGGCAGGAGAAACAGAAAATTCCATAATTATTAAATCTCTCAACAATGACAGAGTAAGTAAACAGAAAATCAGCAAGGATACAGAAAAACCCAACATCATCATCTACCAATATGATCTCATCAACGTATGTAGGATTCTCTAGCCATCAACAGCAGGTATTCTTTTCAAGTATCTATAGAATAGTTGGAAGCAGGAAGAGTTGGAACAACTATGGAGAGTAACTACTAATTTCTTTTTGGAATGACAAAAATTTTCTGAATAGATTGCTGATAGTTGTACCACTGTGAATCAGTTAAAAACCACTGACTTACACATTTTACTGAGTATAGCTAATAAGGGCAATAGGAGGAACCCTTGTGGTTAGAGAAAGAAAAGCCGTGTTCATTGCTTCTACATTCTGGTTATGTTACTGTACTGTATTTTGCAAGGTGCTGTGACTAGGGTAAAGAGGGAATGGGACCCCCAAGGACTTCTTACAACTATATGCAAATCTACAATCATCTTTTTTCTTTTTCTTTGGTGGGACTGGGGTTTGAACTCAGGGCTTTATGTTTGCAAAGTAGGCACTCTACCGCTTGAGCCACATCTCCAGTTAATTATCTCAAAATTTAAAAATCAACTTAACAAAACTTAACCAGCTGCATTTTTGTTATTTATATGCCTAAAATAAGTTAATGAAGAGATAGACTGAAGAGTTTGACACAACTGGGTTCATGTCCTAAACAACTTCTATGAAGTGAGTAGAATTCCATTGCCCAAGTGTTGATATCTTATTTAGCCTAATTAAATCATTCTCCGAAGTCTGGTGATGTAGCTCAGCAGTGGAGTATTTGCCTAGCATGTGCAAGACCCTGCGTTTGTGTCCAGCACTTCCAAAAAAGAAGAAGAAAAGAAAAAAAGCATTCTTCTAATGGCCGTAGGCATGTGATGTCTAATTCAAACTTGGGTCCTATATTAAGGTGTCTTTTCAAAACATCCATTAGTCTGCTGAGAAAAATGCCTTTGTCTTCTAGGTAAGAGATGACAAGAGGATGACAAGATTATAATGAATGGGCTGGATTTAAGACTCCCTCAGTTCAATGAGTTTTTTGATGCCTTGGAAGAGATGAACACATAATGAGAAAAGTCATTTTTCTGCCCTTACATTTTCTTTTCATTCACTGCTTAGAAGCAGAATTGTTTGAAAACTTATGTCAATCCTCCTGTGCTACAAATTGTGTTCTCAGGGCTAGGAGCATAGCTCAGTGGTAGTATATTTGCCGAACACATGAGAAGCCTGGTTCCATTCCCAGTCCAGCACCACAAAAAAAAAGAAAAAAGAATGTGTTAAAATTTTTGTATTATTTTAAATTACAAAGATCTTTATTACTTTTGCACAACAGTAAAAATTATATAATTAACATATTATATAACACCATGATATATAGCATCTGTCAAAAATAATTTTACTGCCGTTAAAAAAAAAAAAGCTTAAAAAGTGGTTTTATAAGATGCATATTTTCTCCAGAAGAAATCCCTCACTGTCCTTGCTATTTCTCAGAAAAAAACAGGTATAATATTTGAAAAGAATAATTCTGTCAAAAAGGAGTTCTCTTGGGCAGGAAACATTAGGGATTCACTTCATCAGTTATATCTTCTTCTTTTTTCTTTTCTTTTCTGACATTTCTATCACTTTCCTCTTCTTGGTTGACACCACGCTATTTCCTTTTGTTAGCTTTTTACTGTAACTAGTTAAATCACATTTCTTTGAGTTAGGTTTTGACGTTTCTTCTTCTTGCACCATGTCACCAGATTCCTTTTTGCTGATTTTGGGGTGGTCTTCATTTACTAAAACAAAAGTGACAGTGTGCTTAAAAGTGGTTTTTCCCCATTTTAATAAACAGGTCAACAACAAAGCTATCTGGACATCCTTCACTTCAACAACTCGAGGTGACACACTGCTCACAGTTTTAAATAATAACTTCATTTACCAGGCGAGGGCTCTGCTGCTGGAGGCAGGCTCACTTTTGTACTTGTCTCTCTGTCCAACCACACTCCAAGACATGTCAGCCTGGCACTGGTGTTCACTCCACAAAGCAAAGATGGGGGAATTTTCTAAAACAGGAAGAAGAAAAAAAAAGTTTTTAATACAGTTAACATAGAGGAATTTGGGATAACTGCTTTTCTTTGTTCAAAATGTTACCTTAATTTAAAATTTACTGCACATTCATGCTCCACAAAACAATGTTTCAGTCAACGAGAGTGCATGGGCAATATTACATGCCACATAGCCTCCATGGTTCTAAGCTATACCATGGAGGTTTATGTATGTAAACTATTGCGATTTCTTAGAATATAACCAATAGAGAAATAGGCAAGAGAACTAAACAGAACTTTCTCAAAAGAAGAAATTCAAATGGCCAAAAAACACATGAAAAAATGCTCACCATCTCTAGCTACTAAGAAAATAGGAGAAGGGGACCAGGAACTAGACAAAAGGTTAGTTCAAGAGGGATTAATTTAGAATGTAACACATATGTACAGGAAAGCAATGAGAGTAAACTCTCTGTATAGCTATCCTTATCTCAACTAGCAAAAACCCTTGGTCCTTCCTATTATTGCTTATACTCTCTCTTCAACAAAATTAGAGATAAAGGCAAAATAGTTTCTGCCTGGTATGGAGGGGGTGGGTGGGGGTGTTTAGGGAGGGGGCGGGGGGAAGGGGGGGAGAAATAACCCAAACATTGTATGCACATATGAAGAAAAAAAAAAAAGAATGTAACCCACTGGTAAGTGATGCGTGCCTGTATTTTCTTGAGCCTAAGATATTTAGATATTTAAATAAAGATATTTAGAAGTAATCTACTATCTTGATTCATGATTTGGTTTGACTATTGTTTACAAAGTCAATTCTAAGTACCCAGAAATTATAAAGACAGAGACTATGTAGTGATCATTTCTAGGGCTTAACAAAGAAGCTTACACAAAGTAGATATTCAAATCATATTCACAGAATGTTTATGAAAATAAAAACTGGGACTCTAAGAAGGCTGCAGAAGGGTATTTAATTTTTAGTTATCTGGTTCAAAACCGCTGTTAGTTCCATAATCAATCAGGATCTTCCAAACTGTTTTTAGTAATGGCAGTCTTTTTATCTCATGTCTTACAGACAGCCCAATTACACAAAAAAGCAAGTAGAGTTTTCCTGATTAGAAGAGCAGGTAGCTCAGATTCTCAAATGCTAAGACCTAAGGCAGCTCTGTAAGAACCCTAACTTTAAACTATTAATATCAATCATTCCTGGAAGAGATTAAAAGGTAATTTAAAAAACTAAGTCTTATGACCCTTAAAAAATTTCTACCTAATTTTACTTAACACTGACAGCAAAACTAACATTAAAGTATATTTGCACCATACTAAGACACCAACCTTATCTTGCTTAAGCTCCCACATTTTGATGAAACCATCATTTGATGCTGTAACTAGAACATGATGCTGTGGAATTTCAAAGCTGAACATGTCTTTTACCCTAGGATAGAAATAATAATGTCATAGAAGACTGTTTCTTCCAAAAACTGTGATGTCATCATAAAACTTCTACACAGTCTCTTCCCTTCTCAATGCTTCAAGTATTTCCAAATTGCTCAATGAACAGTGTCTTAAAATATAACCATGCTTCACATTCCCATTTATCAATGAGTCATTTTCAGGCCAAAAGATAAAATTGTCAATCATTTCTTAAGGATAAACTGAAAAGATGATAACCGTAGATAATTAGGTTATCTCAAATGAAATAAAGATATCTAAAACGATGTCCCTCACGTCAAGCAATTCCAAGTTCAGTAAGAAAGGATAACAGAAATGAGGAAACAAGGTCCTCCTTGACTCTTCAAGGGGTGAGGGAAGTAGCTTCCCTCATCTCATCACCACCATCCCTGCCTTTTTTCTCTTCTGGATTATGGAGGTTGCTTAATTGGCCTTTCTGCTTCCATTTTTGCCCCTAACAATTTTGTTTTGTTTTTTAATGGAAATAAAATCATGTTACCGTCAGGCTTAACACCCTACAACATAGAAACCTGCCTTACAATAACAGGTAAATGGAGGATACGGCTGGTGATACAGAGAAATCAAGACTGTCCTAAAGTAACAAATGCTGAAGCTGGCAGTATGTGTACGGGGCTGGCTCCTGAAACTAGTCTGCCTACCTTTAAAGTTTTCCGTAAGAGGCCAGATAACGGGTTAGGAACAAAGCTCAGTGACAAAGCCTTTGCCAAACAATGAGGACTCATAAGAACACACACTCTTGTCTCTTTTTGTTCACCATAAAAGAAACAGATATTAGCCAAACACCATTAAGTGTCAGTAATACACTTGAAATGGTTTTCCTTAAAAGCATTTATGTTCTAATACAAGAGAAAAGTAAGGTCTGTACACTGACTGCAGAACTGAGAATTTACAAAGACAGATTTCTTTTCTTTCATTTTTTTTTTTTAGTATTGGGGTTTTCATGGCCTACACCTTGAGCCACTCCACCAGCCCTACCCCCACACCCTTTTTTTTTGGTGATGGGTATTTTCTTTTTTCTTTTTGCTGGTACTGGGGTTTGAACTCAAGGCATCATGCTTGCAAAGCAGGTACTCTACTGCTTGAGCCACACCTCCAGTCTGGTGATGGGTATTTTCGAGATAGGGCCTCACAAATTATTTGCCCAGTCTGGCTTCCAACTGTGATTCTACTGATCTCTGCCTCCTAAGTAGCTAGGATTATAGGTGTGAGCCACTTGCGCCTGGCAAAGACAGATTTCTCAAAACAACCATCCTTTGGACATAGGGTTATTTACACAAGTAAATAACATCAAATAAAGTATAACTCAGTATATTACCACATTTTTCAAAATTATAGTGAAAATAGCAAGGATATAAGTCAGAGAAAGTGTCTGGATTGGCTCCATTACTTAATGGTGGAGTAATCTTAGCCAAGTCAATGAACTACTCATTTGAGTCAGTATCTATGCCCTGGAAACACAGCAAACATTAAGAGATGCTAATCTTTCCTGTGGGGAAAGATTAGTATGGGAAGGGTGAGGTAAGCAAAGGGAACTAAGTAAAAGAACAAGAACAAGAGTGGTCAGGGACAAAGCTCAAGATACCTATTCTACCATGTATCATATACATGTCAGCACATCTGATTATCTCTACAGTTGTTCTGCTTTATGAAACTACTGCAAATATAACATTTATTAAGATTCTACACACACATACACATACACACACACACACACACACACACACACACACTACCTGTTTTCATGAGCTTTAAATTCACAGAGGCACATTAATGAATCACAGTCAAAAAACCTTACAAGTTCCTCATCTCCAGCTACTGCAAGGACAGAGTCCTGGGAGAAAAAAGAAATATTCAGAATGTCATTGGCAGTTCTGACCATCTTCATAAATGTCATCACTGATTTATGATAACTTACTGAAAGAAATGTAATGGAAGAAATCCTCTTTTCATTTGTGATGGTGCCACTAACAGAGGCAGTATCAAGTTGATAGATGTCTATTTTATTCAGTATGACAACTACATATTTCTCTCCCTTTGGGGACCATTCCACTATGTGAGCATCTGTAAGTTTAAAAAGCCACATTTATTTATTTTACAAATAAAAAAAAACCATAGTAACCATAGTAGTAATAAAGAGCAAATATTCATGCTGTACATTTTCACATTCATTTTTCTACTTGATTTTCACAACATACTTTGTAGTATACATTTCACAAGTTAAAGTTTAGATAATAAACTGAATTCAAAGAATTACTGAAGACTGGGTGCCAGTGGCTCACGTCTATAACCTTTGAGATTTGGGAGGCTGAGGATGGCAGTTGAAGGCCAGCCTGGGCAAACAGTTTGTGAGACCCCCATCTCCAAAATAACCAGAGCAAAACAGACTGGAGATGTGGCTCAAGTGGTAGAGCACCTGCTTAGCAAGCACAAAGCCCTGAGTTCAAATTCTAGTCCCACCAAAAAAACAAAAAACAATTAAAAAAAAAAAACCCTCACTAAAGATCATAAAACTGGTGAACAGCAGCACTGCAAGAACCCAGATCTAAAATAGGCAAGGAAAGTAACCTACAACACTTGCTCTCAGAGGTAACTACTATCATACAGGAAATAAATGTGTGCATACACACATAAGAATATGTACGTGGACATTCCTATCTATTAAGTTATTGTAAAATACACTTCAAACTATAATACTCACTTTGTTTTATATTTTTTATGAAAGCTGATCTTCCCTCCACAAGATTCCATGTTCTGCAAAACAAGAAGCTTGCTTATGCCATGATCATCAATTAACTTACTAAGTGAAAAAGCATATGCATAATGAAGACTCAACCAAACTGGCAATTTTACTAAATAATGGCTATCTAAAAGACCTGCCATCTTTCTTATGGCAAAATCTTAAAACTTAAGACATTCCTATGCCCCTTTAATATGTTGAATTCACTGTAGTTTGAAAAGGTTTCATCTCCTAACACATTTCTCTTTAACTTCACAGTTTACAATGACTGCAGCACAAGTGCATGCTTGATATAGGTCATTTTAATCCTACCATAATGAAATGGTTCACTAACTTTCTACATTTCCCTTGTATCACAGTAACTTTAGTTGAAAACTGTAGAGCAATACAGAAATATGTACCTATTGCAGTAAAAGATAACAGTAAAGATGTTCTTGGGCATTAATGACTTACCTTAATGTCTTATCAGTACCAACAGACAGGGCCAACTTGCCAGATGGGTGAATAGAAAGGAAAGTCACATGTCCTCTAAAATGAAATCAACAGTTAGCTCCCAACTTGTATGGCACATGGAAAATAGTGATGGGAATAGCCAACTCACTTGTGAGCTTTAATGGACTTCAAACATTCCCATTTCTTTGCATCCCAGACACAGATGAGTCCATCTTCAGCACCACTGATTAAGTGCCTGTTGCCATAGAATTTCAGGCAAGTTATTGTGCCTGTGGAAAAACCAAGATAGGCAAAATACAGGAGACCCTTGATAAATCTGCAGGTATATGGTTTCTAAGGAGACCGCCAATGAGGAAAAACCCTGAATGCTCAGGATGCACAGACTTCAGTACTGTACTGTGGATGCTCAATTCATTTTTCCCACGTCACCAACTTCTGCTAAAGACATGTCACCTTGCAACAAGTCAAAAATTTTCATTTTATCACTTAAATTAAACATATTATGTGCTCTTTTTGGCTTAGGGAGGATTACTGTAACTTTTACCTTGTTTTTTGGGTGTGATTTGCTTTGTTGGGAGGCTGGTTTTGTTATTTTTTACAAAATTAAGAAATGGAAAACATTGAGCAGATCACAAAACAATTTAAGCACAAGTGACAATAATGTGGGACTGAGCGTTTCTGTGCTCAACTGAACATGTAATGCATGTGCAAGAATTCAAAACTTTTGTTGTTGAAAATTTTTTTTGATGGCACTTGATCAAAACTACATGTAATAAAATCTGCAGATAAGATGGGCTTACTGTACTCACTCTGAACACAAACTCAAAAACAAAACAAAACATCCAATGTCTTAATATTACTGAATATACTTAAAAGTCTTAGGTGATGAAATAAATTTGTTTCATATAAGAACATACAATTTTTCTTTGCTTCTTTATATGAGGAATGGATAAAACCAGGAACCCTACTTTATTCATCCCCATTAAAACTCCTTCTAAGTTCTTTTCTCACCTCCGAATATTAACTGGTTTAAACAGGTCAGATTTGTTTATTTCTTCCAAGCCCAAGAGATAAAGAGGACTTCCTCATATGTACTGGAAGTGGGAAACAGAGGGGAAAAGGAATGCATGGTGCAATCACTTAAATCCTAGCTTCTGACAAAGAGCAGACACTTGTCAAAGAAGCTAAGGACCATGTAATAGAAGGCAAACATTTATTACTCCAAATTTACTGTTAGAAACCAATGCTCAGGGCTGGTAGAGTGACTCAAGTGGTAGAGTGCCTGCCCAGCAAGCATGAGGCCCTGAGTTCAAACCCCAGAATGGCCCACCCTCCCCCCAAAAAAGAATCTCTGAAATAGATGAAAGAGAGGTTAGGAAAAGGGCACTTATCTGCTGTTCTTTGCAAGCAACCTGACCTACTTAACTACTACATTTCCTCAAAGTATATAATAATTAATTGTATTAATATGAGTTTTCCCTTCCATGTACCTTCTTGAATATTAAGTCCCTCATGCCTATGCCCTGGAAGATGCAATGAAAACACTACTGAGGAAAAAAAAAGTTACCTATTCAGTCTTCTATCCCTTGAACTTGAAACTATCTTGGGAAATGTCAAAGCAGTGTGGAAAATCCAATCATGAGTGGGGAATTACTTCTTGACCTCTTCATTCTAGTGACCTTTGCCTCCTCTGTATTTTAGCCCTGCATACCTACAATGATCTGTGGTAACTGTGCCCATGCTGCAGGTGTTGGGAATAAAACACAGAAGAGACCGTCTATCTTCCAAAAGCACTGTGAGCAACTAGCCGGCAAGAAGCCATTTTTTTTAAATTGCTAAATCCCCTAGTATAAAATCTGCTACATAACAGACATGTGACAGTCCCACTGAAGCTGAACTGTAAAGCAGTAAGACCTCCACATTATAGTAAAGGATACAATCTCTTACCGTTGTGATGTACTAGAGCCCCATGTTCTATCTTCTTTTTCATGTCATAAATATGAATTGTTTCATCTTTGCTCCCAGTGACTACAAAGCGACTGTTTACAGCCACCGCTGACAATGAGGCAGTGTGGGCATGGTGAGTGAAGTCAGCCACTGGAGTCCATTTCTGCTGAAGAGTAAAACAAACCATCAATGCCATAGTCACATCACAGGTCTCTGGAAGTAGATAAATGGTCCCACAATCACAAAAACTACCAATGGATCTTACCAATAGAGAAAAAGTATGAAATGAGATAAAGATTAGAAAAACAAAGAGCCTAAGAACTGAACAAGGAATGTAAGGAGGTGGGAAGGCAATGCTGAATATTGTGACTCCATAACCCAATGGAGACAGGACTATGGATTTTAAAGTGCCACCCCAAACTTTAACACATTTACTTATGTGTGAGACTTCCACATCATTCATTCATTCAAAAGTTCAAATTTTAATTTGGCTTTTTTTTTTTTTTTTTTTTTCATTATTTTGGCTACACTGGGGCTTGAACTCTCAGGGCCTCATGCTTGCTAGGGAGGCACTCTTCCACTTGAACCACTTCCACCAGCCCTCAAATTTTATTTTGAATTTATTTATTCAAGTAATGACTGACTACCATGTCTGGCATACTTTAGGCAATAGAAATGCAGAAGTGAACAAAAGTCTCTATTTTAACGGACCTTTCATTTTAGTAGGAGAGATATAAACTAATATATTACACAGAGTTCAGTAAAATGACAAGCCTTATGAAGAAAACACAGAGTATGGGCATGTTTCCATTATTGCCCACATAAGCCCTAGAGAATCACCAATGCTGAGGAGTCAGGGACCTCTGCTTATTGCCATGTGACTTTAAGATTGGGATTAGGTGAGTGCAAAAAACAACAGAACACATACACACACTTTGAATTGAAGGAACTACATCCAAAAAGTACTAACAAAACAAAACACAGAAAAAGAAAAACCTCACCAATTTTTTTGCAGATACTTAAGATATACTGCTGCAAATCCTTCCATCAATCAGGACCAATGAGCCTCTTTTGACCCAAGGCATTATGTTGCTGAGGCGCTACTATGGCTTTAAATTAAGGAATAACCTTTGTTTATTCATGTCACATAAATTATATTGGCTATCTCGGTTAATCTACTGCCTAAATTTAGAAGCAGTGTTGAGTAATGGTTAAGAGTTCAAAGTGTGGGAAACACCTGGAGGTCCCTGACATTTTGCCTCAGCTCTCCCATTTTCAGCTGTGTAACCTTCAGCAGTCCCTTAAACTATGGATGCAAAACCCTCACTTTCTTTATCTCAGAGTGTTGCTATGAGGGCTACTGAAACACAGGAACCAAGTTTACTACAGAGAAAATATATATTGAATAAGTACTCAATCCTAAACACAGTCCAATCTACCTGTTTGCCTACTGTGTTGGCAATTAACCTTTTTATTCCCACATCTAGTAAAATACTCCTCATATGCTACTATAATTTCTCTCCATCATCCACAATCCCTTAAGGGGTCTACAGCAAGATCCACACCCCTGGCATCTCTTCACCCTCCTCACCTGCCCACATTAAGTTCCCAATAAATAATGAACTAGTATCACTTTCTTCATCTATGAGGGGTCGATCCTGATCCAGCCCTAACATTTTTAAAGATATCAGAACAGCAACTCACTGAAAGAGCGAGTTAGTCTTTCATTTACCCTGAATACCTATACATTAACTGTTGACTTACAATCTACAATTCATTTTTCCGTGTACAGAAATGCCAGCTTCCTTTGGTGTCTTTATTTTTATTAGTTGACAACTAATTGTGCATATTTATGGTACACAGTGTGGTATTTCAATACATGCATACATTGTAGAACGATAGGATCGGGGTGATTTGTGGTGACATCCAGCACCTCAATCTTTGTATTGAGATCAAAATACTCTACTTTGAAATATACAATTAGTTGTCAACCATAGTTACCCTACTATGCCAATAAAAACATTGAAAGCCATTTCACCATCCCCTCCGGCCCCTTCCCAGCCTCTAGTAACCACTACTATGCTACTTTCTACTTGCATGAGATTAACGTTTTGGTTTCCCCCCATGGACATTTTGTCTACTATAATAGATATTATCTTATCTCATTTTGCAAAATGTGTAATGTGTTTTAAAGATCAACTTTTTACTTAAATTCCCTGAGTTTGATTCATCAACTAATCCAATAAAACCAGATGTAAACTGCAGGCGCCGGAATGTTTACCTCGGCCGTGTGGGAACCGTACCAGACTTTCCCCCGCCCCTCTCTGGACTCCCTGCGCTCGCGGAATCTCACCTCGTTGCCACTGGTTTCGGGCTTCGGATGAACAGTGAACCCAAAAAGGACCTGCTCATAGCTACCAGCGACCAGCTCCATTCAGCAGCACACGTGCCTTTCCTCGGAACACTGCAAGGCGTCGGGTGGTGACGGAACCGGAACCAAAAGGCGAGGTGGGGGGGGTCCTTCTTATGTCAGCGCTCAAATTATACGCCAGAAAGCAGGGCTGCCTTTTAAGCGCCTGTATTCATGGAACTGGTTTCAGTGCTTGAAATCACATGGATTTTCGAGGCGGAGAATAAGGAAGGACGCCGCATGAGGAGGTTCCTGTTGAAAGGAGAAAATAATTGCGGACAGCAGGCAAATTCTAGGATGCTGTGAGCTACGCTCATCTGACTGGATGGGCGGGGCATCCTCTGCGCAAGTCCCTCATTTCCGGAACGTCTAAGGAAGGGGCGGGGCCAGCTTGTCGGGGTCGAAGGGGACGAAGCAGTAGCTCCTGGAGGTGTGATGTTTAATCAGTGTCCGGGGTACTGTGTTGTGGGCAGGAAACAATGGAGGGAAATTTTTCTGTCGTAACAGGGCAAGGCGGAACGGGATTTAGGGTTCGCAGTCACCGGAGCAGACGGTGCCGGTGCCCGGGCCGCAAAGACCGAAGTCTGGGCGCTACACGTCCCGGTCCCGCATCCCCCGCGCCGCTCACCTCTCTTTCCTGCGTTGTTCGCGTGTCTTAACGGGGGACAGATTGGCCAGCGTCACAAGACACCCTGGCACTGAGGGGTAGAATGTTCTAGGACATGGTGCCCCGTTCCAGTCCTTTCACTTTCCTGTAGTCCCGTTTAGGGGCAAAATCACGTTAATGGAAACAAAGATAACCTTTTATGTTGAGATTTTCATAAGGTGTAGAGGTTCAGGGGTGTGTTAGAAATTACAGCTTTCTAGTCAGGCACCGATGGCTCACGTCTGTAATCCTAGCTACTCAGGAGGCGGAGATCGGGAGAATCGCGGTGAAGCCAGCCCGGGCAACTAGTTCTGGAGACCCTGTCTCAAAAAACCATCACAGAAAAGGGCTGGTGGAGTGACTCAAGGTGTAGGGCCTGAATACAAGCCCCAGGATTGTTAAATAAGAAATTACAGCTTTCTCACAAACTCTTAATAGAGCGAGGCTCAGATCGTAAGTTCTTGTAAACTTCATGGAGGTCGGTGTGACAGCAGGAGAAGGTGCACACATCCAGTTCTCCGCTCGTTGGTTTCCAGGCAAGCACTTTTGTTGTCTGCTGTTCTACATATTTGATTCTGTAAACATTTTAATTGGTGCTTGTTAGGGTCTTGTGGAAATGACCTCACTTTGAATGTTTGTCATTCAGCTCAGGGTAGGCCTTGTGTTCTGCCAGCTTTGTCTGCTCCCTCTGTACTGTCTTACAGGAGCTTCTTCAGTGCTAATTTTCATTATGTTACCAAAAAATCAGATCATTTTACTATTTAAATTATTTTCTGTTTACTGTGATTAGTTCCTCTAGGACTACTAGAGTTGGAGGAGTATGAAGGTGTCCACTTGGTCTGGGACAAAGAATAGGACATTTCTCATTTCATCCTAAGCATGCCTTCTTCACCTTTTGTTCTATATATTAGTTCACTTTAATACACTCGTATCGTCTCTCATCTAAAAAGAAAACTGAATAAAATTATTTCAAAATCATATATTTAATTCTGTTGCTTTTGGCATGTCCCTCACACCCTGCTGTTTGAGAAGTATTAATACTTCTCAAATACGGTTTTTGAAGCTTATTTTAATCTGACACTACAATAGGGTAAGTACTATTGTTGAAAGGAAAATTCCTTAGACCAATAAAGTGTAGCAGAGTTTATGTGAGCAAAACAAAACATGATTTGCAAATTGAGCAGCTCCCCAAACAACAGGTTCTGAGAATTCTAACCAGCAACAGCATTTATAGAAAAAAGCCATTGACTGTAGCCTAGTCCGTCCGCAAGTCTGTTGACTTTAAATCAGTTAATTGGCTACAGGGCCTCCAATAACCAACTGAAGCTTAGTGTGATTAAACTCATTGGTTTGGTCTGATGGGCCCAAGTGCAGGTGCCCAGTCCAAATCCATGACCTCACAAATTAACACTATTCAGCATCTATTAACAGGTGCTTACACTTTTACCTGCTGAAGTATTTGTAAGTTTTTAGAGGAGAAACTTGTGACTGGAGGTCTTGTGCTCCAACCAGGACTCTTAGGGGATAGTGGGTTCTCAAAACTATAGTATTGGCACAACAGACATAAAGTGATTTACTACTTTAAAAAAAATGTTAGAAATTAGTAGAGTCGATCAAAGTTCAGAAGAACTAGTGAGCATCCAGACCAAATGTTAAACCCAGGGCAGAAGTTTTAAATCTATAAAGTATGTGAGAATTTCTGAGTATAAGTTTATGGAGAATATTGATAAATTTTAATTACATTTTCAAAGGGATTCATGGCTCATTAATGAAATTCTTGGGTAAGTAAATCCCAGGGTAAAATACCCTAATTCATTATTGGGTAATAAATACAGAAACATCCAGAAAAGTGACATTTTCAAGATCACACAGCTAAGTAACAGAGCCAAGAGCCATTGCTTCTTACATTTTCTTGGCTTTGAATATTCTCTTTCACAGAGAACAAAGCAGCAGCATTTCATTTAATTTGTGGCCATGGCAGTAGTTTCATAACTTGCTTGGGTTGCAGGGATTCATTGTCACAAGAAAAATGTTGGAGAATTGTGTACCTGTACAACTGGATTGAAGCTAAGCAGAGCATACTTCCTCTAAAACCTTTTCTCTCAGTTGCCAAGGAACTATTGAGAGCTCAATAACAACACTAAAGTACAACAGGAATTTTTTTTTTTTAGTTTTGCTTTTAAATATTGATTGAAAAGCTTTTTGCACTTGAGTCATGCATTGATCGATTCATTCAACCTGAGTTCCTGGCTTTGTTTGCCAAAAAAGAAACAGTTTTCCTTTTTGGGTAGTGAGGGTAAAGAACATATCCTGGGCTAAGAGCAGGAAAGAAAAGAGAAAAATCAGATGAGTGACTACACTCCTTTCTCAATTGGAAAAGTTACAACTTGGTTAAACTCTAGGACTACAGGGGTTCCATGAGGTTGTATTCCCAAAGGACTTTGGTCCCCTCCATTCCAGAGGTAAAGGAAGTAGAGATAGTGGTCAACTTTCCTGGACAATAGTAATCTATCCTGATATAAATCTCTTTCATGGGGGTAATCCAGCAGAAACATTTGCATTTGGGGCCAGAGCAGAACAATGTGAACCCTTCCCTAATGCCCATCTTCATCTCAAGGGTCCACCTGGCTCACCTGGCTGGTTTTAATGATACCTTGACCACTGCCTCGGCCTCCTTCCTATCTTATCAGTGTTCAGCTTCCACATTCCTTTTCAACTGCAGCCTCAGCTCCCACCCATTCATAGCCATAATTCTGATTTTCTTTCTGCAAAATAAAATCAGTCCTAATATGATAAGGAAAAATTAAAGCATTTACAGAAACGATCCTTAAGCAATTTGCTTTATTAGCTGCCCAAGCTGCTATAGTGGTTGGGAATTGTGTTTAACTTAATATAATGAACAATGGCTTAAATTGTTAAATTGTTTAATTTCTTTTAGAAATCAGAAAGTAGGCCAGTTTAGTGTCAGTTAAGGGAGTCCCCAGTCATCAGGGACCCAGACCTATTCTGTCTTTCAGATTGTTAAAGAAAAAGTTACTCACTGATAACCTGTTAAAATAGGGAAAGAAGAATATTCAGGGCTATGTGAATAGTATAGCGACCACTGCAATGAGGCATTGGAGTGGGGGAGATTGGACTGAACACAGTCTGGCCAAGTAGGACTTCATAGCCAAGGAACAGTGCAGGGCTCAGTGGATGGAAAAATCACTAAAGAAACAGCAGGGGTGAGAGGGATTCTAATTAAGCTAACCTATTCGGATTCTGGATGAAAAGTAGAGTGACCAGATATCACCTGAGGTGGAAGACAAGCTGATTTGACATTATAGATGACCAGGTATCCAGGAGGAGGGGTTTTGGCTAAAATGACTTAGCAAAGTTCTTTTGTTAAACCTGGATTTTATAAATAAGCAAGGTGCAGGTGGGCCTAAGAAAAGGTTCAGAAGCTTGACTAAAGTCTGGCCAAAGAATCTCTCAGGATCCAGTATTGTACATGACTTTGCCCTGATGTCACCTCAAAGTCCAAGACAGCCACAGAGTTACTTTGTCTCCAGTCCCTACATGTAAGCCCACACCAGGCCCAGGGAAAGGGTAGAGGATGAATAAGTTCCCTTCCATCTAATCAAATGTCCTTTGTCCACATAGCTTTCATCAGTCTCCTTCTAAGAGTTCTGTTGACATCGTAGTAGCCAGATTGGCCACATCTAGCTGCAAGGCAAGCTAGAATAAGTCTTTTTTAAAATCGCACCTACTGCTGCCCCAAATAAAAGCAGGGCTCTTATATTAAGAGAAAAGAAATCAGTATTGGGTGGCATCTGGCAATATCTACTAAAAATGTATCTTTTATCAATATATATCAACTGCTAATCAAAAAGTCTCCCTTGAAGACATGAGGAAATCTGCTAAAATGTAAGTTCTGCTCTACTGTCAGTGCCATAGCCCTGCCTGCATATAGTAGGAACTCAGTAAATAATTGAATGTTTGAACAATCTGAATTCATCATGTTTTTTTATTTTTCATTTTACAGGTAAAGTACAGAATACATTAAACATTTAAACAGTGGAGTAGTTATTGCCAAGCTTTAGGAAAATGATCAAACTATAAGTGCCCTTATTTAGATTCCAAGTTATTTTAAATTTTGAAATGTGTGTCGTTGCTAATTAACTCCAAATCAATTGAATTAGAGCCTGTGTTTTAAACAACATGCCCAGGAGTTTGGAAGCACTGTTTGCTTTGTTATTTTTAGGGAAAACCCCTAAAAATGTATCTATCTATCCATCTCCTCTCTATCTCTGTCTCACTCTGTCTCTTTCTCTCTTGTTCATCACTTGGAAGGCTGAGGATCACAAGTTTGAGACCACAGTAGGTTACATAGAGAGACCCTGTCTCAAAAAAAAGTACTGAACAACAAAAATATTTCTCCAAAAATTTGTCATGTAAGTGCATGTGGGAGTGTGTGTATGATATATACTACTTTTCTTCCTCTTATTTTGCATCTGATTACAATAATGATTTCAATTTCAGGAGATTAAAAGGAAGCTGTTACATACTGGTTTCAATAGTTATTCTTAGCAGATAACTGGGGAGGGAAACATCAGATTGTGGGATTTATGTTTGATTTTAGTTATGAAAAGTGATGGGATGCAGTGGAGGTGTGTGGGTTTTTTTGTTTGGTTTTTTATTTTGCACCATTAGGGATTGAACTCAGGGCCTTGCTTCTTGAATTCTACCACTTGAGCTGCAGTCTCTTCTGACTTTGCTGGCCTTGAACCACAATTCTCCTTCTCCACCTCCTGAGTAGCTGGGATTACAACTGTACATCATCACTCCCATTATCACTGTGAACACCTGGGTTCTTCATAGTCCATACACACACACACTCACAGTTCTGCTGGATTCCCCCAGACCTGACAGTTGGGTGAGGGGACTTCCAGCTGGAAGCCATAGCAGAAGTTCTCCAGGTGACCTCAATGTATCCCTGCCTCCCCCACGCCTTTGCCCCATTGGCAGGAATGTGAAACAGGAATTGCCAGTAAATATAATTACTCCATCTCAGAGGTAGTTGTAAGAGGTATTTGTAAGGGTTAGTCTGCCTGAAATTCTTGACACAGGAATAAAGTTTAGATTCTAGTATTCTTTTGTAAATCTGGATAAATGGCCGGAAGGAAGATTTTGGCAGGTTTTGGCATAGCTCAACAAAATAGCTATTACTACTACTGGCAACGGTGAGCATTTTTCCCCCTACTTTGAAAATGAAAACCACTAGTGTTCTAATACATTACTTTGACAATTTACAAAATACTGCTTTTTTGTTTTGTTTTGGTTTTTTTTGGCTGGACTGAGGTTTGAATTAGGGCTTCATACTTGAAAAGCAGGTGATCTACTGCTTAAACTACACCTCCAGACCACTTTGCTCTGGTTATCTTTGGGGATGGGATCTTGTGAACTATTTGCCCAGGCTGGCCCTGAACCGTGATCCTCCTGATCTCAGCCTCCCAAGTAGCTGGGATAACAGGCATGATTGTGAGCCACCGATACGTGATACTTGGCTCAGACTATCACTTTGAATATAGGTGTTTTTAAATAGATGAAGCAGGTATTGTCCTTATTTGAAAGTTCCTGAAAGAAGTTGGAAGGTTTAAATGATTCTGCCTTGGTTGATAACGGTTGTCACTCCTGTTATCTTCCCTCTGCTCTTAGAGAAAAGCCGGAGCTCCAGCCCAACCTGGGTTACCACTGTGGCCACTGGTATGAGCAACAGCATAGCTTGTACCCTCTTTCCTACTACAGCTATGACTCTGCAGTGGATAGAAGTGAACCCAACCTTCTCACTGTGCATGAGACTCCTGCAGACCCAGCTGGAACTCCCGTTATGCCTGAGGTAACCACTGCTGAGATGACTTGTGTCATTCATGTGCTCAATCATGTAACATCAGTTTCCTATCTTTACACATCCATGCCCTCTCACACAAATTTCCACAACTATGGCTTTGGCCCTGTTTTAATGCCAGAGTAAAGCTGATGACAGGGAGGTGGAGGGTGGGGTAGGGAATAACAGCCTTATTGAGGTATAATTGATATAAAAAACTTATAAACTTCTACACATGTTTAATGTACAGTATACAATCTGATGCATTTGTACCTATTCATAACTTAAATTTTTTTGACTTGCAAATGATTCGAGTCTTCTTTCTTTCAGAAACAAAGTAATAGGCCAGTGAAGTCTTGGTCTAAATTTTTGCTATTTAAGATTATCATCATGAAATACATTTTACTAACACTTAAACTAGGGGAGGAGGGAGCTTTGGTTTGTTTGGGGACATGGACACCTTTGGAAAGATACTTTAGCATTTTGATCACTAAGCTACTCAAAGGTGTATGGATAAGAGAAAACCTCCTTGATCTCTCTTTCCCACTCCCTCCCATTTGGAAGAAAGAAACCTTGGGGTAGATCTCTGTGGTCTAGATGTCTCCCCTATACTCTTGCTAAATCTCTATGGTTGGGCTTTGTTTCTGTTTTGGGGGTGAGGCAAGGTTCTTTTGGTTAAGGATGGACTATGTGGTAGATCCTGGCTTTCTTTGCTTGTGTTTGCGTGTAGGGTGTTTAAGCAGAGCTTTCTTTAAAAATTCCCAATCTAGAGGCTGGGTAGAATGCTTGCCTGCTGTGCACAGACCCTGTGTTCAATTCCCAGCAACACACATATACACATGCACCCAAAATTTCCATTTATATGAGCTGTGATTTTTATCACCTCTTTTATCCAACATTTGAAGTGTTTTCAGGACTTTGTAACAAACTTCCTTTTACCTATCTTTAAACTTTTGCCTGAATTTTATTTTATTTTATTTCTTTTACTAAGAATACATTTCTGAAAGTGCTGGGGCTGGATTAAATAATACAATATTTTAAGGTCTGGCACATTGGCCCATGCCTGTAACCCTAGCTACTCAGGAGGCAGAGTTGAGGAAGATTATGGTTCCAGGTCAGCATGGGCAAAGTTAGGAAGACCCCATCTCAACCAATAGCTGGGTATGGTGGTATATACTATCATCCTAGCTAAGGTATAAAGGAGGTATAAATAGGAGGATCACAGTCCAGGCCAGTCTGGACATAAACCAAGAATCTGTCTCAAAAATAACCAACACACAAAGGGCTGGAGGCATGGCTCAAGTAGCAGAGCATCTGCCTTTCAAGCTTGAGGACCTGAATTCATCCCACAGCACCACCAAAAAAAAGTCCTTGCATAGGTCAGGAGTGGTGTCCTATGCCTGTGATTTCAGCACTTGGTAGGTGGACGTAGGTAGATAGTGAGTTCGAGGCCAGCCTTGTCTATATAGCAAGACAACTATATAGACTATAAAAAACTATATAGTTTTTTTTGAGAGCAAAAAAACAAGACCAAAAAAGAAAATGCATGCATGAATTTACATTCTTCACTACTGTGGCACAGGTGCTTATTTCTCTCCATTCTTCTCTGTGTGATTAACCAATATGATTGGCAAGGGAGGTAGGTATTAGTGTATTATTGAGGGTCAACATCTTTTAAATGTTAATTGGTATCTGTGTCCCATTACTCTATAACTGTCCTTTGTCTTTTTTTGGTTGGGTGGTGTCTCTTTGCTTACTGTCATATGTATGAGTACTCATATATTAGGAAAGTGGCCCTTTGCAGTCAAAGGTTAAGACTTTCCCATTCATTTCCTAATATGCATAGTGATAGTCTTTGTGTCATGGCTTTTGCCTTCACACCAAAGTTGAACTTCATCTCTAGACCTGTGGTTTCTCAAGCTTATGTTGCTTGATTTTTTTTGACCTAAACTTTCATTTTCAATTTTTTAATGTGTTTTAGGTGTGCCCCCTTACACAGAGTATCTTGTTATATTTCCTTTCTTTTTTTCCTTTTAACCCAACTTGGGTTTCTCCCTTTTAGCAGGTGCTTGATATTGCATCACTTAAAAAAAAAAATTATTGCCTCAGGTTTTAGCACACTTTTTTCTCCCTTTCACCCCCTTCCTTGTTTCTCTATTTTAGTGGTTACCTTTATATCTTTAAATAGAGAGTTACAGATATGACTATACTTTCAACTTCAGAAATGACTTTTTCTTTTCAGTCATGAGAACATTAAAAAACTTAGCATCCTTTTTTTCTCGTCCTGCCTACCTTTCCCCATTCTTCTAATCGTGTTTCTTGACACGCTCTGGAACTTTCATCCCATTCTGTAATCACATTATCACTGCGTGCGTTTATTCATCAGGAATTATAAATGTATTCTCTCTTGTGACTGTGGTCAACACACTGGGTCATCTGCCTGCCGTCCTGGTGGATATTCCTGATTGGGAAGCTGGTCTGTAAAATGTAATGGGTAAGACTCTGTGGTGGGTTTGTAACTTGCACATGCTCGTTTTGGTCTCCTCTAATGAAGTGTGTCCTCCATCAGATACCGTAGTGATATTCCCCACTGTGGAATGCCCTGTCCTTAGGTCTTAGGTACCCAAGTTAGGGGGTTAGTCCCTTATCCCCAAGAGCCCTCTGCTTTGTTTTGTCAGTGTGACTTGCTTAATGATGAGAGGAAGTGGATGTCTTCAGAATAATTCTCAGGTCTTTGTGTCCGTCAGCACAACTCCCCTGGACTCCCTCTACCAGAAGAAGTCAGTTCATGCTCGTGTCCTTCCTTAAGGGCCACCAGTAGCACACACAGCCCAGGTGACCCAGATCAGAAAGAATGCTCTGTCTTCAGGTAATGTCTGCTTCCCAAACCCTGGCCCTATAGGATTCACATTTACCAGAGCACATAAAGAAAGGAGGAAATGTGAGATTACTTGGCATTGTATGACAGGAAGGACCTCTTTTAAGCACAGTTTCTGGCAATTTTAGCCATTTCTAAATAGAAAAACACAGATGATGTGATTACATTTATGGTAACTGTATCATTAACTTTCCAAACTAGGACATATTTCAGAGTAAGGGAGGCATGCTTTCAGATAGATTGAGGAGAAAGTGGATCTTTGGCACTCAATATCATCTCATTCTTATTAGCAGGGGAGGCTTAATTAAGTTCACTGGTGCCAGAAGCTAATGCAGCCCTTCTACAGAGGGTGATTCTTGGAACACCCATAAAAGGAAGGTTCCTAGAAGGTGTATACAGAGGGGTCATTAAAATGTGTGCTGTTCTAGTACAGCCAACCAAGTCTGACCTAACCAAACAATATCTGTATCAAGAGTGATTCTGGAATTTACTTTCTCATTAGGTAAAACATAATTGATTGGTTTGCTCTTCCACAGCTCTGTATTTCCTTAGCTACCTAATGTCCTGTTCTTTAGCTAAGACCTGGGTTTGGGGCCATAAGGAGGATGTGTTTATGGAGACAATACAGATTGTCTTCTGGAAGGAAGGCCAGGACTTCAGCTGGAGAGTAGGCCACCTGATATGGGAATAAGAAGTGAGGATGTCAGGGGTCTCTGGTGTTTGGTTCTGTTACCAGAGAAGGCATAGGGGGTTCCCTCAGCTTCCCCATTTCCACATGAAATCACAGGAACAATGATGAGCATTTCAAGGGGTTTTTACCAGAGGAGAGTCTCACAAACTGGAAATTTTAGCAAGGATTTCTCTTAATAAAACAAGATAAAGTAGGGAGAAATAGAAAATGGGAGAGAGAAACTTTTCTTACTTCCCTCATAGGAAATGGGAGTGAAGAATCCAATTAGTAGTTCTTATCTGGGGTTTTTGTACTTTCTGATCTAGGGACTACTTGTGGTCTGTTGTCTAGTAACCCCTAACCAATCATTAGAGAATGATTCTGGGTGTGCCTGTTACCCAAAACATGGCCAAGATGGCTGCTGTTTACTGTTCAGAAACATGGAGATGTGAAATCCAAAATAAGAGACAGTATGTGAGTTTTTAGGCTGCCCATCTACCAGACATGCCCTCTAGTTTTCTGTCTGCCCATTCTAAGAGTTTGCAGCTTCTTAATACCTCAAAAGAGAAGGCAGATGCAGATAGCTCCTATGTCTCCCTCTTCTTGTAACTGAACATCTAAAAGGAGGTGATGGGAGCTGAGCTTGCTCTCTGGTTTTTCAGTTCCTGATTCTAATTTCTGAGTGTAGCACTTTTAATTATTTTTTAATTTCCCTGTTGCCTCATCTATCTATCCTGCCTCAGTTCCAGCCCAGGCACTAGGATGACAGTGGGCTCTCAGAAGCTAAAAAGAGGCCAGACTCTTGTGCTAGCTTTGTTTCACAAAGGACTCAGTTCACCCATTTCATAATTGTAATATTATATTAAAGATTCTTCTAATCAAAATTCAAAATAAGTTTGCTTTAAAGAGAGTTTAGTGTTTTAGATATTATTTTCAAGAGCTAGATTTCTTTCCCAAGCAAGCATGTATTGAATATTAAATCTTTACATTTTTTTTTCTTAAGAAACTGGTTTTCTTTGTAGGAAACCATAGCTGCAGCTGAAAACCAAGATGAAGACCCGCTAGCAGGTAACATAAACCTTGAGCTACAGTGATTGAAAGCAGAACTTAACCCCATTTCTAGGTTCCTCATTCACTCAGCTTATTAGAAACCGAGAAGTTTTACTGGAAAATCTCAATATAGATTGCTTACACTATCCTTTTCAGTAATTTGTCCTGTTTTGGGAACCCACTTCTGTGGGATCAATGTCTGCTGTGCTACTGAAAGACTGAAAAATTGCGACAGCACCAAACAGTAAGACATTATATCAGCTGGTCATGGTGTCTCATTGTTATAATCTCAGCTACTCAGGTGGCAAAAGATCACAGTTTGAGTTTAGCCTGGGCAAAAGTTAGCAAGACCCCATCTCAATCAATAAGCAGGTGGGAGGATTGCTGTCTGAGACTGGTCCCAGGCAAAAATGCAGCAAGACCCTACCTGAAAAATAACTAAAGCAAAAAAAGGCTGGGGGAGGGGGTGGCTCGAGTGGTAGAGCACATGCTAGCAAGTGTGAGGCCCTATGTTCAAATTCCAGTACTGTCAGAAAGAAAGAGAGAGAGAATACATCATCTCATTTTGAAGATCTGTTTCCTCCATAAATTTTGACTTTGATATTTGCTATGGTTTAGATGTATCCCCTAAAGTTCTTATGTTAGATACTTAATTTCCAGTGCAACAGTGTTGAGAGGTGGGAACTTTAAGAGGTGATTAAATTGTGAGCAGATATTGTGGAAGCAGATTCCTCACAAAAGGGCAAGTCCATCCCTTCCCACCCTTCCCTGCCCCCTCACCTCTTGCTGTCTCATTCTTTTGCCTCTAACATAGGATGATGTAGCCCTTCAGTCTTGGGCTTCCTTGCCTCTAGACGTGAGCCAAATACGTTTCTACTTCTAATAAATTACCCAGTGTCAATACAAAATGGACTAAGACAAGATTAATTATATTTTAATTGTGTGTGTGTGTGTGTTGAAACTGAACCCAGGACCTTCCATATGTTAAACATATGTTTTATCACTGAGCTATACTTCCAGCCTAGTTTTATTATTTATTTTTCTTGGTGGCACTGGGTTTGAACTCAGGGCCTCACACATGGTAGGCAGGCACTCTTACCTTTTGAGCCACTCTACCAGCCCTTTTTTATGATAGGTTTTTTTTTTGAGTCTCTTGAATTATTTGCCCTGGGCTGGTTTCAAACCATGATCCTCCTTATCTCTGCCTCCTGAGTAGCTAGGATTACAGGTGTGAGCCACTGACACCTGGCTTGATTTCATTTTTTTTATGGAGAAAAAGCAGGAGATAGTTGCTGTGGCCATGGCTTCCTGGCTTCCCTCTGAGTTGCTGGTTCCTGGGGACCTGGCAAAAAGCTTTGTCATGATAGACTGGTGATGCTTCCACTAGTTCTTCATCTGTTCTGGAAAGAACAAAGCTTGTCCTGAGAAGGACCCTGTTTCTGAATGTCTTACTGAGGAAGGGGAGAAAGTATTTTGTTTCTTTAAATAATGGGAAAGAGAAAGAGAAACACTGTTGTCTTGCCTATTTATGATGTTCCTTTCCTCCCTTTCTCTTACTTGAGCTCTGCCCAGACAGACCTATCCACTGCCTTTGTGATCCCTATCAAAGAAGGGAGCATATTACTGTATTATTGTCTCTGTAGCCTTAGAGTTCAGAGGGTTTGCATGCTAGTAGGTGCTCTTTTTTTTTTTTTTTCTTGATGATAGTATTAGGGGTTGACCTCAGGGCCTTGCACTTGCTAGACTGGGGCGAAGAGGGGGAGCGTTAATGGCATACCTGGACAGATGTTGTCACAGGCTATCACCTGTTCTTCTGAAGGCCCATCCATCTCTCCCAGTGATTATTTTTTTCTCCTAAAGTTACCTATATCCCCTCCCTCTTCTCTATGAAAAGGTTACATAAGATTCTAGATCTCACTGGTATTTGAGTAGTCACTTTTTTTCATGCAGCATCCCTCTTGCATGTGATAAAATTTTCTCTTGTTAATCTGCCTATTGTTAGCTGATTTCATAGACTCGGTTGTCAAACTCTGAGAAGGTGGAGAGAAAATGTTCACTCCTTGCCAGCAGCAAAAGTGTAGAAGGCCCACAGGTTCAGGGACGATGTCATTAGTTTGTCTCTCATAACCTTCTGTTACAGTTATGGAAGCATCTGGATCACAAAATCAGGGGCTTGTGAGCTGACCACACTGTGTCTCTTTGCTTGCACACAGGAGGGTGTGTTCACACATAATTGTGTTGTCCTGACATCTCTTGCTAGGGCAGCTGTCTTTAACTATGGAAGAAAGGAACCTGGGGCATGAGTTTAAGAAAAAAAATCTCAGAACACTCAGGGAAAAGTAGAAATGTGGTTTTGTGGCCTGAAGCTCTCAAAGAAAACATGGCTCAAAAGGGTGGGATGCTCCAAAGACCAAGAATCTGGCAACCCAGCCACCAATGACTGATTGACACTCTGCTCTAAAGCGATTAATACAGATAGACATGCAGTATCTGCTAGGGCTGCTGACACACAATACCACGGGCTGGGTAGCTTTACCAGCACACATTTATTTTCTCACAGTTCTAGAGGTTGAAAGGCCCAGATCCAGGTTCTGGCCAATTTGCTTTCTGAGGAGGGCTGTCCTCCTGGCAGTAGATGTCAACCGTCTCACTGTGTCCTCCCAGGACTACTTCTTTGTGCATGCATGTTAGAAAAGAGAGGGCAAGCTCTGGTGTCTTTTCACATAAGGGTACTAATTCCATCAGACCAGGCTCTCTCCCTCACAACCTCATCTAACACTAATTACCTCACCAAGGCCCCATCTCCAAAAGCTATCACATTGATGGTTAGGGCTTTGATACAATTTTTGTGGGAGGATACAAGCATTCAGTCCTTAACAGGCATACAAATGAATATGAACCCATGAGGGTATGAGGATGCAAATTGTGGTCCTGAATGCATTTGGGCTTGTAAAATTATAAAGAAAAACAGAAAGAACTTCTTTATTCTGTTACAGTTACAGTCAGTACAGGAAGAACAAAAATGGATTAAATTAAAAAAAAAAATCAATGGCCTTGAAAGCCTTGGAAACTTCTGGAAACCTGACAACTTGGACTGAATGCGTTCATGAAAACATCAGGCCATCTTGTAGTCACAGGGTTCCAGGCTTCAGAGATAGGAGTCCAAGTCCTCTTGTGCTTTTGAATTATTTGCCATATAAAATTTGTTCCCTTACGTCAATCTATTAATAAGCAGATAATGTAGCATGTTTATTTTTTCAAAGTCCTGTTTTAGAAGCTCTGGTTTTGGCTAACTGGCAACATTTCTACCCTGATGCTTATTCCAGAAACTCAGAACTCATCCTTGACCTTCCTTCCCTTTTCCCTAAATGGAATTCATCTCTAAAGCATCTCTGACTTTACATTTTTGTTCATCTCTTCCTTAAGCTATTTTTATAGCTTAAGTTTCTATTTTTTTTCTTTGCAGTATTGGAGTTTGAACTCAGGGCCTCGAGCTTGCTAGACAAGTACTCTACTAATCAAACCATGCTCTCAGCCCTTAGATTTCTATGTTCAAGTCTTATTAAAAAGAACAGAATTTAAAATTTTAACTTTTTTTGAGATAGTATCTCCATATGTAGCCCAAGCTGGCCTAGAACTCTCAGACCTTCTGCCTCAGCCTCTTGAGTGCTGAGATTACAGGTGTGCACCACACACCCAGCTAAATTTTAATCTTTAATGTCTGCAATGCTTCCTGCTAATGCTTTTTTTTTTTTTTACAAATTCTCTAGTTTTCAGCCGTTACCAGTAGGTGTTCTGTAAAACTCTTTTTTTTCTCATGTCCATGATTGGCTTCTGCAGATCCAAACCTCAGTTTGAATATTGAAGAATTAAACAAGGAGTTCATGGTGAAAAGTGAAGAGCTCTACGACTCCCTCATGAGTTGTCACTGGCAGCCTCTGGATACAGTTCAATCTAGCATCCCAGATGAGACCCCAAAGTGAAGGATGTTCACTAGGTCATCCAAGTATCAAATTAATTGTATCTTGTTTTGGTTTTGGAGGAAAAAAATTCTTCCAGGAATGTACTGGATTCTGTATGTAAACACAAACTTCCAGGACTTAAATGTGATTGATGTGGTGAGATGTGATATAAATACACTGTACTAGCATGTCCATTCTTGGAAATATCTGATTTTTTAAAATTAGTGTATATTAATTGTACAAAGTGATTTCATTGTGATATTTCCACACATGCATAAATGTTACTTTGATTATATTCATCCTCTGTATTACTTTTTCTTAGTCTCCCTCCCCTTGGAAGCGTGTTATCTTGAGTAAGTGCCAGAAGGCTCACATGACTACTATCATTGAGTATTCTACTGGAAGACACTGGAAAATGGTTTAATAGGAGATACCTTGAGCTCAAGGGATTGTGCACTAACTACTCTACATTTTGCTTACTTCCTGTAACCTTAAACTCTCATGGAGAGAAATGCTATCCACAGAGGATACAAGGTTTCTCATTTGCACCTTGTCTGAAAAAAGTCAGTTAGAACCAGATGTTTGATCTCCATTGACCCTCAGGTATTCTGTTAGAAAGCCAATACTCACTCATCTCAATCAAACAGAGATTCTAAGGCATGGAAAAAGGTTGTCTTATCCAAACAACCTGTTGATTTTCCAAAATAGAGGAATCAGGCCTTTATATAAGCCAGTCTGACACTTCATTGTGTATCCTGAATTTGCTCCTTATAAGATATCTGTTTTTTGTCCTGAAGATGATCACTATGTCCTGTTTTATTCCCTTGCCTTGGGTGGAGCTTAAATGAGACCTCTGGGATGGATCTGCCTAACTCAAAAGCCAGAGGCATATGTTTAGGAGTGTTGATCGGGCTATGGGGAGAGGGAATCTGACATCTCTTCTTCTTGGATGTGCTTAATATAGCTAAGCCTTGTACCAAAGACTGGAGTTCCCCATGGTAAACCTGGTAAGCACAGTGTAAAAGACTTCCTTTGCCCTGAGATATGGGGCAGGGCTTCTCACCCTCACCCAATTTCTGTTTTGGCCTGGACACTTCTTTACCTTGGGGTGGTTGTGCATTGTCCTAATCTCTACCACTAGATCCCCATAACACTGTTGCATCCCAGTTGTGATAACCCAGATAGCTTCAGACATCACCAGATTGTCCCCGGCTAAGAATCAGTAGATGAGGACCATGTTTTTCAGACTCTAGGTTATATCAGAGTCTTTTGGAGGGCTTGCTGAGACACGCATTCTTGGGTGTCATCTCATTTGCTTTGGTAGTTCTAGGTGGGACCTAAAAATTTTCAGTTCTCTAATAAGTTTGTGGGTTAGGCTGATGCTGCAGGTGAAGATACTCCATCTGAAGACCACAGCCACAGAGACGTCCCCAATTGGGCCTTGAACTGAGGGTGAACTTCTCTCAAAGTCCCCAATACAAGTTGCATAAATTCTCACTGTCCCACAGATCTCTGACTTGTTCAGGTATCCACCTCCTCCAGCCTTGTGTTTTGGGTACTAGTACCCTGTCCATCTCAGGGTTGGCTCTTGTAGGGTCTGAGCCATGTGTAGTGGTCTCATTCCTTTTGCCAGTATTTAAGTCAGCTAGAGTCATAGGATAATATTCTGACTATGAGCTGTGAGCATACATTTTCCTCATTTTTTTGTTTTTAAAAGAAGAAACAAAAAATAGTTAGCTTCTATCTCTTTGTGAGCATCAGGTTTAGGTGTGATGCCTGGCCCTGTTGTAGCCATCTTGTGACTATTAGGGGAACAACATGAAGGTGATGCTGGTACACTGGGGATGATAGTGAAGGAAGAAACTTGATCCATGATAATGGCTTGTGCTGTTGAGTTAGGCATCCCAAGTCTCTGCCTCTGGACTTATGTAACATAATACAGATACACTTTAGCTTCTGATGGGAGTTATGTCCCCAGACACCCCATCTTGAATTGAAAATATGTAAGTAAAAAAATGCATTTAAACACCTACCCTACCAAACCTCACAGTTTAGCCTAACCCCTTACACTTGTTCTGTACACTCACATTTGCCTACAATTAGGGAAAAACATCTAACACAAAGCCTGTTTTATTATGAAGTATTAAATATCTCATGCACACACATAGGTTTTTGTAGACGTAAGGAAAGGCTAAAACACAAAAGGCAGTATCCAAAAACTGCTGGCAACATGGTCCATTGTATAGTACTGGTTGTTTTCCCCTCGAGATCACACGGCTGACTGGGAACTATAGATTGCTGCTGCTGCCCAGAATCCTGAGAGAATTGTACTGAACACCACTAGCTCAGAAAAATACCCAGATTCCAAGTATGGTTTCCAGTGAATGTTATATTGCTTTTATACCTCTGTAAAGTCAATCATGAATCAAGCTGGGAGTGATGGTGCATGCCTGTAATCCTAGCTCCTCTAGACATTGAGTCAGGAGGATTGTGAATTCCAGATGAGCCTGGGCAACATATAAAGACCCTGTCTCAAAATAAAGTGAAGAGGTAGGGGTGTAGTTTAGTGGCAGAGCACTTGTTTAGCAAATGTAAAACTTGCTTCCATCCCTGATACTGGGGGGGAGAGAAGAAATTATAAGTCAAATCATTGTTAAAATGTGGTATTGGTGGTGTAGTGGTGAGCATAGCTGCCTTCCAAATCATTATTAAATTGGGACCAGCTATTTTTCTTTTCTCTTTTATTTTTTATTGTTGTATTGGGGGTACACTGTGACATTTACAAGAGTTCTTATAATATATCATAGTTGAATTCACCCTTCTACCATTCTTTATCCACTTCCCCCCCCCATTTCTGGAATAGTTTCAATAGTGTATTTTCTTTTTAGACTAATCTGAATTTTTGTTATTTGTAGCATATGCAAAGAACTTGATGTCCTTGAATCAAAAGGAAGCCCAGTCAGGATGTCTGGAGCTGTGCCTTTTAACATGGGTAACTGCTATCCACATGTGGCCATTGAAACTTAAATTTCAAATGAAAAATATCCTGCCTCTTTTGCACTAGTCACATTTTAAGTATTTAGTAGCTATACTGAGCTAAGTGCTACCAAACTAGGCAGCATGGATTATAGAACAGTTCTATTGTAGACTAGCACTACACCATAAGTGTGTGCTCACACATAAAGGACAGAAGAGCCCAGCTCAGCCTGGTAGTCATGGCAGAGATTTTAGTTTACCATAGGAATTTGAGTTTTAATCACTAAAGGATTTTAAGGAGAGGCCTGGCAATGGTCAGTTTTGTCTTGAGTTGCTTTGTAGAACATAGCTTGGTGAGAGAGGGGAGCAGCAGTGGGGATAGCAGTTAGGAAGCTCTTGCAGGGGTCCTGAACATGTGGCTGGAGGCTTATCTGGGGGTAGTGGCAGTGATGAAATGATAGTAGTCATTAAGGGCTGTGAGGGACATAGGAGGATCCAGAGTTAGCCCTACGATTTTGGCATAATTGCATAGCTAGTGGTCCCAGTTACTAAAAAGAAAACTGGAAAGCAGCGTGGTCAGGGAGGGTAGTAGCTTCTCTCAAGTTCACTTAGGAATATGTTAGAATTGACTATAGACTACACCAGGGCTCTTGATTTTATGGAAGCTGGCTTCCATAAAAATTCACCCCTTCCTACCTTCTCAGAAACATGTGCAGCATTCTTGAGTTATCTATACTGGCAGACTTACTGAAAGAGAAACTCATCATATTCATGCCTTGTTTAACCAGAGTCCTCTAAATAGGAAGAAAGAGACTAAAGGGAGAACTGCTGTAAAAACTGAAAAAAATGGCAGGGCAGACTTTGTACCTTTATTCTCTTAGTTTTGTTTTTGTTTCTTTTTAAGAGACAGTCTTGCTTTGTTGCCACAGCTGGTCTCAAACTCCTGGGCTCAAGCACTCCTCCTGCCTTAGATTTCTGAGTAGTTGGGTCTATAGACATGTATCACCATGCCTGGTCTATGCCTTTATTCTTGAAGTTCAAAATACCAAAATGATGGAAATGTATATACTTTTAATATTAAAGAAAAAAACCAGGCTGGACATGGTGGCTCACACCTGTGATCCTAGCCATGTAGGAGGCAAAGGTAGGGAGTTTGAGGCTAGCCTGGACAAAAAGTTAGCAAGACCCACCCCGCCCCAATCTCAACAAATAAGCTGCGTGTGGTGGTTTACTTCTGTAACCCCAGCTATGTGAGAGACTATAGTTAGGACAACTGTGGTCTGAGATCAGCCCCTGGGCAAAAACATGAAACCCTACCTGAAAATAAAGTGATGAAGGGCTGAGGTCACGGCTCATGTGGTAGAATGCTTGCCTAGTAAGTGTAAGTCCCTGGGTTCAAATGCCATTACTGCCAAAAAAAAAAAAAAAGCCACATAATGGACAAGAACGCAATCATAGTCATATGTTGTGTTTTTATAATGTCACGTGGGAAACCTCTGCTCTCTTGCTGAGATTCCCCTATTTGCCCTAACCAAAGAAGAAAGGAATGGCAGGTTCCTCCTGGCATTCTTACTTTTGTTACTCTAGTGACCCTAAGTGAATCTCCTCTATGAAACTGCCCATCAGCCCCTCTCACGTTAACGTTGGACTTGGTGGAGGTTTACACCTTGCCATGGCTGCAGTATTACAGATCCCGGAGCAGAACACTTTTGCAACAGTTTTGTTATTTAAAATTTTTTATTGTGGTAAAATACATATGACATAAAACTTACCATTTTAGCTATTTTAAATATACATTTCAGTGGTGTTAAGTACATTCATGCTGCTGTGGAACCATTACCACCATCTATCTCCAGGACTTTTTCTTCCCCAAACTGAAACTCCAGGGCTGGGTGCATGGCTCAAGTGGTAGAGGACCTGCCTAGCAAGCATGAGGCCCTTAGTTCAAACCTCAGTACTGCAAAGAGAAAAACCCCATTTCCATCAAATATCAACTCCTCATTCTCCCACTCTCCCCATATCCTAGCAGCCACCATTCCCTTTCAGTCTCTATGGATTTGGTTATTCTGGACATTTCATACAAAAGTAAAAGAAAAAAATGGGGGGCTGGAGTCCTCTCTCACTAAGGAAGATGGGGAAAAAACTATTTGAATCTCTGGAGGGATACTCCTTTATTGAGGCATACTACAAGATAGATAATATTTA